AAGGCCTAGAAGCCACCACACCTCAATAAGAAGGGGTCCATGTAAATAGGGAAGGGCGAAGCAGGTGACGGGAGGGCAGTGGTATGGGGAAAAAATAAGAACCAAGGTAAGTAATGTAAAGGTACAAGATCCCAATGATAAATGTAACTGTATTGTTTGCTTTGAATGTACCAATAAACTTAACAGGAAAAAAAATATAACAAGAGGCCCACCAAGGGCTTGGTTTTTAATTTCTTGCATTGTTTGCAAACAAGAAGAAACAGGACACCTTGGAGAAATTTCTGATACCAGAGCTCAGACAGAAAATAATACAAGGTGTATCTTGGAGTATTTAGTAAAGCCAGTCATGGAAAAAGTAGTAAGAATACAGAACAGTAGCAGTAGTAATACAATTACATAGTGATGAGTATAACAAAGTTTGCAGTAGCCCTCTGAAAGTTCCCAGTGGTCCAAACTGGAACATTTAAATAATAAGGTAGTGTTCAATAATAGCTCAGTGTATAAAATACATACCCATGAGTGCATATCATTATGAGTAAATCGTTTAGTAAATAAATTAACACCTGGGGTACATGAGTCAAATCCCCCCATGCAGACAAATTCTAAAATAATTCCTACAGCTACTATACCCTCAAGGACAGGAGGAACATAACTCCTAGTAGACAGCACAGCACAGTGACCTCTAACAAAAAGGAAGGTGATGGGAAGGGAGAACTTTTACAATGGAAACAAATACTACCTCAGCTAGGTAACCAAAGTCAAAACCACTGATCACAAATAACACTGACACTGTTCTCCTTTGATACAACATAAAGAAAATGACATTTTACCTGTGCGGTCCCTTCAAACTGGTAACACCAATCTAGTCATGAAGGGGAAAAAAAAGACAAATTCCAAATAAAGGATATTCTACAAAATACTGGACTGGGATTCCTTAAAACTGTCAAAGTCATCAAAAACAAAGTATGAGGAACTGTTATAGCCAAAAGAATGTTGGGAGATTTGACAAATGAAAAAAATAGGACATCAGGCACAAACTAGGGAAATCTGATACCTAATAAAATATGGACCTTTGTGAGTAATAATGTGTCAGTACAGGTTCATTAATTGCAAGAAATGTGCTGTACTAATAATAGGATGCTATTAAGATGCTAATAATATTAAGATGCTAATAATAGGCGAAAGTAGGTGTTGGGTACGTGAGATTATTTTCTATTACATAATTTTTCTGTATATTTGAAACTGCTCAATAATAAAAATAATTTAAAAAAACCTGTCTTGAAAGCAGTTGGAATCTTCCAAAAGCATTCTATTTTCAATATTAGGATATAAACTCTGTCTCTAAAACCTATTTGTGACAGGAAGTATAAGTACTCAATAATTCACTTTTTCAAAGTTACTTAGACAATTAGAAAAAAATCTAAATGTTACTGCAGCAACAAATTTTAAGCAATATAAATTACCTGGAGTGAGTGTTTCAAAACTGTTATGTGTTTTGAGAAGGTTTAGTTGAAATATTCTTTGCAGTTGGTTCTTAATGACTTGTATTAACAAACTGACCAGCTGATCACTTTTGCAAGGGATTTAACAAGGCTTCTACGTTTGTTTATGTAAAAGTTATGCATACGTTGAAATTTGGTAAGTTATATTTTTGATATCTTGGTTAAAACACAGAAATGATTTTGAACAAATTGTTGTGAAAGTAAATGATGTTGATGATACAAATAATAAAACCCAATTGTTAAGTAGATTCCGACTTGTGTATGTGTTGAATTACATTGCACCAAAAAGAAATATTGTTAACACCATGCCCTAGGGCCTCTGAATGTGGTAGTTAGTTAAAATAATGTCAGAATGTAGCAGAAGGGTCCTTAGTTCAGTATTTCTGGAATCCTTCATTCTGATGCCGCATGAAGATACACGGATGCAGGAGGAGCCCTGTCAAGATGAAGGCAGAGTGGGGCTAGGGCCAGAGAGCGCCAGGGAGTTCTAGAACCACAGGAAACTGAGAAGGCAAGGAAGGGTCCTTCCCTTGAGCCTTCACAGAGAGCATGGCCCTGCCCACATCGTGATCTCAGATTTCTAGCCTTCAGAATCACAAGGCAATAAGCATCTTGTGATGTAAGCCATCTGGTTTATGGAGTTTTGTTGTGGCAATCCTGGAAAACTAAATTGAGAAACATTTTTCCCTCAGAATCTATGCGGCATTTGTTCTGGACCCCCCTTCCAGATACCAAAATTCCCAGATGTTGAAATACTTTCACAACATGATTTAGTATTTGCATGTAACTTTGTGTACATCTGGATTACCTATAAAATCTAAGTCCATACAAATACAATAGAAACAGTTATTATATGGTACTGTTTAGAGAATAATGACCGGGAAAAAGTCTCTACATATTTAGCAATGATGCAGCCCCCCCCGCCAAAGTATATTCTATCCACGGTTGGTTGAATCCTTCAAGACACAGAACTAGTAGATTAGGAGCACTGACTATATGTCATTTATTTTCTTTTTTGCAGTATTGGATATTGAACCCAGGGCCTTTACGATGAGCTACATGGCTAGAAGACACCACACTTCAGTAACAACAAGCCCACAAAGGGCCTGGTCCTTAGTTTCTTGTATCTTTCCCTAATAAAAGGAACCTGGACTCTTTGGAGAAATCCCTGATAGTAGAGATAAGACAGAAAGTAATACAAGATGGGTCTTGGAGTATCTGGCAAAGCCAGATATAAAAATGTGATAAAAATATAGAACAATAGCAACAATAAATAACCTGATTGCACAGTGACAGGAGTCTATCAAAATTTGTATCTTATGAAATGCAAATTTATTTTCGGTTGATCAGTTTTTTACTGAAAAAATGAACACAAACTTATGTTTAAAAATTGAAAAATCTCTCTCTCAACTCTGAGCTCTCTTTCCTGGCCCCTTGCTGTTTTAGTTTAATACAAAGAAGAGAGTACTTTTGAGGAAATTTGTAATAGGAAGAGCCAAAATGTATATGACCGGGGCTTTATGGGCATATTATCCCAATAACAACTATTCAGCTCTGCATGCTATTGAAAAAGCAGCCACTGATAACACGTGAGCATTGTAATGGCTGTGTCCCAATAGCACTTTGTTTGTTAACATAGATGCAAGGGTACATGTGGCTCCTGAGTAGTTGTTTGCCAATCCAGGGCCGGACCAGTGCTGTCCTCAAACACATTTACTGCATTGTAAACATTTAAAATAGTCTTTGCATCCATTATTCCTTTCCCATAGTGGGCATCATGATCTTTAAATTTTTATTTTTAATGTTTATTTGTTAAAAGACTTTTGAACTGCACACTTCACTTTATTTTTTATCGTTTACATTTAATGTCTTCAACATGCTATTTTGATAAATGTATGTATAGTGAAATGGTTACTGTAGTGAAACGGTCAATCAACATATCCATCATCTCAGAGGTACTTGTTCATGCTAAGAACACCTAAAAATATATTCTCCTATCAACTACCCCACACACAATAGAATATTGTAAAACTATAATCCTCATGTTGTACCTCAAGTCTTTAACTCATTCTACATATCTGCAACTTTGTATACTTTGACCAATCTTCCTATTTTCTCCGTCCTTCATAATAATTTTAGTTTAAATGGAGCTTGACCATGTCATTCTCTTGCCCCAAACCCTTTGCCTCCTCACAGTCCCTGTCATTAAGCACAGTGCCTGTTAACTAGAGTGAGTGCAGGTCCGCCGACATCCTTGTCTTCCGTCTCTTGCCCACCTCCGCTCGCTCTCCCTCAGCCATCAAACCCTTGGAACACAGGCAGGTCTTCCTTTTGCCTCTTCTTGCTCAATTTTTGGAAATGAAATATACAAAACTAATTTATTGGTTGTTCATTACTTTGGGTATCAACTTAAATACCCTAATATCTCTTCCTTATCATGTCAGCTACCTTTTACTGCTTTACATTCCAGTACTGTACTATGGTAAAGATACAGTTTTCACATATAAGTTATGTGGCTTTCCACATAGTCAAATACAAGCACCATATTTGTTCATGAACTTTAAAATTATGATCATGAAGATAAAGTGGAGATCCACCCACGGCAAGTGTCTTACCTGTGGCAAGTGACACATGTTCACTTCCCTGTTACATGTCTGACATCCAAGCAGCCCTTCTATAATAAAAAGCATTGTAAGTTTAAATATACAACTCCTCCAAGATAATTTGAGTTTCAAATATTTTAGTAAGGTTTAAGGTTTTTCTTCTTCTAAATGAGTTATGTGTGCACCCAATTATTTTTGTAAATTGCACTTTCTGTACAGCATATTTTTAGTAAATGCCAGTTGAAGTCTGAGACACAGCTTGATTGTCAAATTCTATTTTATTTTAAGCTCAGTGCCTTTGGAGTGAGAGAGTCCCATGATCTGAAGTATATTTCAGTTCATTTGCTCTGGCTGCTTCAGGGGAAAAAGGATTACAAGGAGGAGGAGACAATGGATTAGGAGGCTGCTGCCAAAGCACAGTCACAGAAGTATGATGGCTTGGGCCAGCCTGTGCTAACAGAGGGAGACAGATGTGTGCAGGGCTGGGAAAAATTTTTGGAAGTGAAGTATGCAGAACTAATTTATTGGTTGGATGGGATGGTGAGGGAAAGAGGAAATCAGGTGTAACCTCTTGATGTTCAAACTGAGGTGGTGCCATTTATGATGGCAGGAGAATTTTGGGTGGGAGAACAGGTTTGGGGCAGCTAGGAAGTGAGATGTTTGGTCATGACTGTGTATGTCTGAGAGGTCTGTAAGTGCTCTGGCAAATCAAGCAGTGAGCTCTACTAGAGTTCTGGAGTCCCAGAGGATGGCCAGGGATGAGGAGAGAGATCTGAGATCAGCTCACAAACTGCCAGTGATCCAGCTGGTTAGTGCTTGTAATTTTGGCACATTAAGGATATTTTAAAAAATGGCAGTGCATTCTAGAAACTCTAAAGTCTTTTTTTTTTTTCAGAAATATTCCCAAGAGACTTGAACCTGAAAGACAAATTCATAAAGCACTTCACAGGTAAGCCCACAGTTTATTAGCAAGTCAGTTAAATAAAAAGATTAGGCGCAGAGTGCTGTTAGGCACTGATAATGTGAAGATGAATGTGTAGAAGAGGCTCAGTCTAGCGAGTTGCTACTCACATGATTCAGCTATAATGTAAATCAGATTGTGATAAATAAAAGAAGTATAAACAAAGCTTTAGGGATACACAGGAGGTGAATAATTTGGCCGAGAACCAGGAAAGGCTTACAGTGGACATGGTGTTCACATCAGCCTTTAAGGGTGAACAAGGTTTTGTCAAGGATGAGAGCAACATCTTGTTAGGAGGAATCCATTGAGCAAAGCGTGGTGGCTCACTGTGTGGTTAGGGGTAGGCCAGGTAGATGGCATGAACTGTGGTTGAATTTAGGTAAGGATACATTTGGCCAGGACACATTTATGGCTGGAAAGGTAGGTTAAAATCGTATTGTGTGTGATCTTAAATGGCACACTGAGGAATTTAGATAGTATTCCCAGCCAACAGGGGCAACAGAACTTTCTGGGCAGAGAAGAAACGGACTTGGATATACTTAGACATAGATGAGATGCTCTGTCAAGTTGCAGTTGTGAATCATATTCAAATCATCCCTTGCTCCAAGTTATAGAAAAATCACTACATTTTTATAAACAGTCTGCCCCTTACACTTACTGTTGCCGCACTCTTCCTAATCATTCCAGGTACCTTTTACTGCTTTACATTCCGGGACTGTACTGTAGGAAAGATACAATTTTCACATATAAGATGTGTGGCTTTCCACATATGGCTTTCCTGCATCATCAAATACAAGCACCATATTTGTTGATGAACTTTAAAATTGTGATCGTGAGGATTGAGTGACGATCCATCTGCCTCATGTGTAAGGATGCAAAGTATTACTGGCCAGTCTGAAGGCTGTCCTGCTTTTTCATTTGTTGGAGGTAGGCACCACGTGGAAGGATGAGAGTTTCAGTGGAGCCTGCCTTGGATTCACAGGGAGAGATGAGGAAAGCCTCAAGGTCATTCCTACCTTACGACAGCCTTGAACACTAAGACAACACACATCACTTTAATTAAAAAGTGAAATAAATGTCTCTTCCTGTCAAATAAAAAAACCTAGAGAACAAAATGGAAATCAATAATGTTTATTTTCTCACATCCACTTAATTTGCTCTCTACGGATTTTTTCTCTTCTATCTGGGGCTTTTCCATTTCCATTACTCTAAAGCATTCTACTGGAAATGAAGGTTCCATGATGTGAGACATTGAGAATGTGGAATGCATTTAGATTATTTTCCACAGATCACAATTCCCTCCCTCCTACAGAATCTGAGCGAGAGGAAGAGATCTCAAGCAAGTTCTTTTAAGGAAGGGTGTAAACTACAGTTATATTATATCATCCATAAAGTGCTAGCAATTTGTTTGGAAAACACGCCTGTGTTTATAATAAGCATTCTCTTCCTGTCTTCCAGGGCCAGTCACATTCTCAGCTGAATGTAGCAAACATTTCCATCGCCTCTATCACAATACCAGAGATTGCTCAATGCCAGCTTGTAAGTCACTTAGGCAGTTTAAAAAAATCCTTGTCCAGCAATAAATGTATGTAGTTTTAAGCTTCATCTGTCTTCAAATGGAACATAATAGACTAAACACTGCATGGGATACTATTTATAACACTGACAGTGCTTAAGATTTGTATGTGCTGTTAAAACTATAAGGAATAAAATCACATTCTACTTGGAAATATATCCAAATCTGAAAATAGCCAGATTTCCTTAAATACCAAAATGTTTGCCTGGATTGAAGCATTTTATCATTATTCAAATTCCTTGGCACAAATAAAGTACTCTCTCATATAAATGAAAAACCAAGAAGACTATGAAATGTAAGTCAAAATTCCCTCGTAAGTTATTTTAAAGTAAATATTTTTATATCATGTCATTTATAAACTGGGTACTGGATTTTTTTCTGAATAATGGTACATGTGTTATTCACAGTTTTCTCTAATGAATTCTTTTGGATACTTAAGTTACTGAAGTTAATAATAATTTCAAACATAATACTAAAGTGCTAATATTTAAAATGCCCAAATTATGATTGTGTGGAATAACTCAGTTGCCTGTTTTTAAATTCCTTTCCAGGCCTAAACTTTCCTTTTAAAGAAAATGAATTTTAAGTACTTTGTTACTTATCATCTGGCTTGTTCATCTTAAGAAATATTTAATTTTACTCAGAATGTTGAGTTAGGTTTGTTGCAATTCTTTTTCAAAAATAACTCATACTAAATGGCTAGGGAAACTGAAGCGCATTGGAGTCAAGGAAAAATCTCTAACTGAAAGCACAATGTGGTGGAGAAAGTGAAGGCTTTGGGACTCAATTGTGTACTAGCTATGAGATAAGCACCATTTTGAATCTCTTCTTTCATCTCTAAATGAAGAATAAAAATCACACTTTCTAGATTGTGTTATTGGGGGAAATCCATGAGAAATCCATGTTAAGCAGTTGATATATTAGGTGTTCATTAAATTGTAACTATTGCTAGATGAATTAGTGACAACTAACATGACTTTCCTGACATTATAACTACATACATAATTTATGTCTAAATGTTTTTCCTAGATTACAAAAGATGTGCCAGATTGCTAACAAGATTGTCAGTGAGTCCGCTGTGCTCACAGACCTAAAATGCTTACCCTGTGAGTGTATGTATTTATTTATTTTTATCCCATATAACACTATTTAATTTTTTTGGATTTTTTTGCTTTTTGTGTCTTTTTGTTTTTGTTTAGTAGTGCTGAGGATCAAATCTAGGGCCTCACACATGCTGAGCATGCATTCTACTACCAATGAGCTCCATCCTCAGCCCTAACAGTCTAACTCTCTTGAGAAAACTTTGAACAAAGTAGGAGAGTTGGAGGCTGATCTTGGCACTACCTAGCAAGCTTACTCTGTGGATTATTCACTCTGTGTTCAAGCTTGGTCTAAAGACACTGATTATTTTATTGAATGGATTTAAAATGTTCTTTTCAGTGATTGCCTTATGATAAAATAGATTTTTGGCACTCTTACTGGCTTTGAGTGATTAAAAAAGCTAATTTAACAGTTTTTGGTGCTATTCTGTTATTGTGTGGAAACATTATGCAGATAAACATTAGATGAACCAAAGGATTTATAGGTCTATCTTTTCTTAACTGGCTAGCAGATATAATAAAGAAGATAAAAATAGGTGTAAAAACTTTATATAGTGTAAGAAGCAGACAGAGATATTGGAAAAGTAGAAGAATAAAAGCCAAAAAATACATAATGATTAGGTAACCATCATCTGTTCTAGCTTATTACTTGACAAAAGAGGAATGATCAGTCAACATTTTTATTCTGGCTTAATTATCCTACGAGCCTTAGGAAAGTAAATTGTAAAAAAATCTTAATATAAATTATAACACTTATTTACAGAATCTATACAAAATATTGAAAAATACTAATCTCTTTACAGTGTGTGTGTGTGTGTGTGTGTGTGTGTGTG